CCAACTTCACCAACCTGATTATCCCTTGAAATTTAAGATGGACCTGGTTTCTTTTTCTTATGATGAAGAAAATGATCTTCACCAGCTTTTGCCTTGAGGGATCACTCTATAACCCAAACTGTAGATTAAGAAATCAAGATGGCTTGATGTTTTAAGTCACTTGTGATGGGAGAAGGAATGAAGAAAAAATGGGAAGGGGAAACAAGGATTTCCAAAAAGATTTTGGCATTCTTATATCTACCTGTCTAAAATCTGTTAAGTAGGATATTCTACCATCTAGACCTATACCCATTCCCTGATCTGGGTTTTTCTCTGATGTTCTGAGACACAGTTTACCCCGATGTAAGTGAGTCAAGTTTTGGCCTGGCCTTTGCATGAAAGCTTTCAAGTGTTCTTGGGCTTTTATTACTATCTTGTCCTTGTTGCTGCATAACAGTACTACATTTTTTTCATGAGCAAAATCCTATCTGAGAACTTTGGGACAGAAAATTTGCCTGAAATAAATAACCAACATTCAGAGCTGAAGTTAACGGCTGGCCAGCGAGTTACCTGCCACTGCCATAGCCTTAGGGCAGTGGGGGCCAACATTTTTGGCAGGCACGCCACACATTAAGCCCTGTGCCCTCCCCCACTGCCACTCCAGTTCCCTTCCTCTGCCTGATCTGTTCCTTAGCTTTCTGCTTCATGCCCTGTCTGCTGCTGTGCTGCCTATCCCCTGCTGCCTGCCACACACTGAGACTGCCTGTGCCACTTGTGGCATGTGTGCCACAGGCTGGCCATCTCTGCCTTAGGAAATCTATGGATGAGTTGGTTTCTTTAATGTTGCTTTGCATTCATTGGTTCTAGTTGTTGTTTCTTAGGTCAGTTCACCAGGAAATTCTAACAGGTGATGATGAACACAAAGGACATGGTTACCACTGAAGCTCTAAGCGGCTTTGGAAAGGTTTACAAATTCCTTCTAAGAGTGATTTTTATCTTTTTTGGCTTCTGTCATCTTCTTCAATTGAGAAGAAATACCCCTCAATGAGAAAATCACTATGTCCTTTTCTAGGAAAGGACTGACCCTGGACAAAAGAAAACTTGGGTTTCAGGACACTATATAATGTAATTGCTTTGCCACCTGATTTTTAATCCCTTTCCCTGACATTTCACATTCCTCCCTTACGACTTCTTTGAAGGCATTGGAATGGCAATACTGTTCTAGTTCTCAATGGGCAGTATGTGGCCCTTGTTACCCTTCTCAACCTCTTTCTCTGTTAGATCTTTCTCTATTGATAGCTCTTGGCAGCAATCAACTTATACCGCATAGTCTCAAACATCTGGAAGGTGGGGGGGAAAAAAGCAAACCTGTCCTGCTTCTCTGGATTAGTGTTATCATAAGCCAAAGTTGAGAAATCCCTTCTTCAAAGGAGGAGATAGGACTCATGAAAAGGTGAGGATCTAGAAGCTTTTGGGCTTTTTCCCCCTATATTTTTTGGCCATTCTTGGTTTCTTTTGTTTGCTGTAGTGTTGGTCATCAGTCCTTTGAGCCCTTTCTGTTTGATGACCTGTTTTAGATCTTAGTTTTGAAGGAAAAAGATGCCAAGCACCAGTACTTGTCAGTCATCCAACTGAAGAGGAAGCATAGGGGAACATTTTTTAGGAACCCAGATATTCAGTTGGACAACAAAAGTCATAAAGGATATCAGATTCTGCCAGTTGCCTAAAATTTAGGATGGGACCCTGCACCTTTTCCCTTGGATTGGCTTGAGGGTAGATGGCCTTTGGGAGATTTTGGATGTACTTCTTAAGACTACTTGATCAGGGAAGAGAGTTTGGCTCCAAGGAGTCTGGGCTGATATAAGGGCACCAGGAGTGTTTGGGCTGCAAGGAATCATGGAAGAGTTCTTCCTCTGTAGCTCATGAGCATGTCTCCTCATACTATCTGGCCTCCTTTGGCAGATGGGAGAGGAAAATAAAGAGCTTAGCAGGGGTAATCATTTGGGGACCAAAGCCTCTGAAATGTTAGTTCTTAAGTG